CAAGACCACTAGGGTGGTTTGGTAGAGCCCTACGTAGCCGACGGACGAGAAGCCCGGAACTAACCGGGCAGTTTCCGCGTGCGTTTTCCCAAGTGGTTTCCCCACCAGTCATCTATGCGTTGTCAAGGGTTCGATCGCTAAGGCTGGACGTGTGTTACCACACACCCAACCCCAGTCCCCAGAAAACGAGAAGCTTTGTGACATTTCAGTATCACCTGCGATTTTCCTTGCCTAATAGCTATAACTTTCTCGACGTGATCTTTTAAGAAACCATGTACAGCGCCAAAATTAGGGGATTTCCTTTTCCGGGGCACCTAAGTTTTTTCTCGTGCCGCCTATTCAAAAAAATTCTCAGTGTGAATTCGTTGTGACAATTTTCGTACGACGCGAAAAACACACACTCCGGCGCAGTACTTGCAGTTTATTTGAAGACTTGAATAAGCCTCTACAATACTTCTTTTCGTCGAAATTATCAGAAAATAGTTCACTCGGCGCCGACGGACATCACCTCTGTGTTGCGCCATGCATCTGATTTCCACGCAGAGGTGTTGGAAACGTGTAAATCAGGCAAGGCTTCTCTCTGCGAGCAGATGTGCTCCTATAAGTCAGAAAAGTCCGAGCGTATACTGTGTTTCTACTGCTTGATGATTCATGACCGCGTTGTGGGCGGCTACCGTCTTCTTTGTCACCTATCGCTCCTCACTTTTGAGCTTGCTTGCCTCTGTCTTCAGGTATCTCTTCATCTGTTCTTCACAGCAGGAACCATGAATTAATCTTTTTCAATCAGAGATTGTACGACATCTCAGTCGACGAAAAGAAGTATTGTAGAGGCTTCATCAAGTCTTCAAATAAACTGCAAGTACTGCGCCGGAGTGTGTGTTTTTCGCGTCGTACGAAAATTGTCACAACGAATTCACACTGAGAATTTTTTTGAATAGGCGGCACGAGAAAAAACTTAGGTGCCCCGGAAAAGGAAATCCCCTAATTTTGGCGCTGTACATGGTTTCTTAAAAGATCACGTCGAGAAAGTTATAGCTATTAGGCAAGGAAAATCGCAGGTGATACTGAAATGTCACAAAGCTTCTCGTTTTCTGGGGACTGGGGTTGGGTGTGTGGTAACACACGTCCAGCCT